CTGAAACAATGGCCTTGAGCATGACAGAGATATTAGGATGGCACAGGTTAGGGTAAGGTTCAGATATATTATTCATACGGTTCTTATAAGTCAAAGTCAAGAGTATAGCACCTAACAACAACAGATAGAGATAGATGATAGATAGATAGATAGATAGATAGATAGATAGATAGATAGATAGATAGATAGATATATGAGCAAGATTATAAATTATAGGGGGAAAGATATATACTGTGAAAATCTATATGAGACAGGGTTTCTCAAACTGGAATTTGCACCTACCATCACTGAATTCTGGGAAATTTAGGGTAACTAAGACATTTTTCTGAGAGCATCTACCCTACAGTGGATTTTCAGAGAAAGTAAATCACAGAGAAGATTACTCATCTTTCTTCCACCAACAGAAGCTGCTGGGTTCACATTGCTTGCCTTCAGGCTGGCACTACAACTCCTTACAGATAGGCTACAAGAACGCCAGAAAATTATGAACAATGAACACCCTTGGCACCATCAGTCAGGAGATGAGAACAGTAATTGCCTTAGGCAAGTCCACTGTCATGGACCACTCCAAAGTGCTTAAGAATGATGATGTCAGCTTAAAGACTAACATGCACCTGATTCAGGCCATGGTCTTTCCAATCACCTGTTACACATCTGAGAGCTAGACAATGAGTAAGAAAGACAGGAGAAGAAGTGATGTCTTTGAGTTGTGGTGTTGGATGACAGTACTGAGTATTCCATGGACTGCCAAAAGACCAAATCATTATGTCTTGGGAAAAGTGCAGTCAGAATGTTCCTTGGAGACAAAAATGAAGAAACTCCATTTCTTGAATTTTGGACAAATTGATACGAGAGGCTACTCCTTAGAAAGGGACATCATATTTGGAAAGATGGAGGGTCAGTGAAAAACAGAAAGACCCTCTCCCCACCCTCTGCCCAAGATGGATTGACACAGTGACTGCAACAATGGGCACAAGTGTGTTAGAGAGGATGAGGATGACACAGAATAGGACAGTGTTCAGGTTTGTTGTCAATAAGGTTGCTATGAGTCATACTGAACTCAACAGTATCTAACAACTACAAGGCAAGAGAATACAGGAGTTCTTGTGGCACACACAAATTTGCATGCTGAAACTGAAGAGGACCTGAAGCATTTGCTGCAGAAGATCAAGGACTGAAGCCTTCAATATCAATTGAAGCTCAACAGCAAGAAAACAAAGATTAGCACCACTGGGCAAATTGGCAGCATCATGATAGATGGTGAGGAGATTGAGATTGTTAACAGCTTTAGTTTGCTTGACTTCACAATCAACACTCTTAGTACCAACAGCCAGGAAATCAAGAGACGAATTGCACTGGGAAAGTCAACTGTCAGGAACATC